GGGTTGGGTATATGCATGGTGATGGAAGCAAGATTGTTTTCAAAAACTTTTCAAAAACCCCGTCGGGTGCCACTTATGCCCGAGGGAGATAATGAGTTGGGTAACCACTTGATGACGAAGTGGTGTACCGAGGCAAGTGTGTGTGTTGTTTTCAAAACGGATTGGTTTAAGTTGTGATCGTTATTCCAACCTTACATGCGCAACCACTCTACCCTTATATGGTAAAGGGCATTATTGATTACCTAGGTCGATACTAGCTTGGATCCCGCATTACTAGTGACGAGAGAGTTGTTGTTGCGCTCTCTCGGGACGGGGTCACGCCAGGTAGGGCGGCCATGACTGTTTTTACAGGGCACCGGACACACCGTTGGTACCCTGTGCTTGTGGTATGAGATGAATATGGGAGCGTGGCTCCAAATTCTTAAAATGAGAAATGTTGGGCACGGGGGTTGCTACCAATCGAGTGGACTCTATGTTAGTGTCGTCTAGGGAAAGGTAATGATTGGGTGCTTACCCCGGGTACTTGAGGTACCGCGGGTCGTGGATGACACGGAAGTTCCCCAGATCTTGTGGGTAAAGTGTGCAACCTCTACAGAGTGTAAAACTATTCGAATAGCCATGTCCACGGTCAAGGACAGTTGGGTAACCGCTCTTGGGCTACGTCCACATGTTTACAAACGAGAGTGTGTGGGAAGAACTACTTGGGTCAAGTCAAAGGACTTGACATGGATGAGTTGGGTTGGAGCCCACTCCCTTTATGTTGATATCTGTAACCAATTCCTAAGGTTACTTGAATTCATATGATGCATGTTCTACCAGTTGTTGAACATGTCATAACACAACAAAATTAGCTTTCTGCAAAAATTTACCTATGTCATGCATTGTTGTATCTTGAGCCAAAACATGGGTTGCTTGCGAGTACATTCAAAGTACTCATTGGCTTGCCATTGGTTATTTAATTGGCCAGGCATGGAAGAACAGGAGTTCGAAGAAGAGTTCTTTGGAGACGAACATGCGAACTAGGACGTTTCCTAGTCAAAATGCATGTAGGGTTAAGGCAGATGGCATGGGTTCTACTTATCGACGAAGATTTCCGCTGCTAAAGTTTATTTGGTATTCAGCCCTTGTGGCTTTATCTATGTAAGACTTGACCATAATGGTCATAATTTGTGTAAGACGATATGTATGGATGTAAGACTCTTGTTATTCAGCTTCTGTGTGTTCAGTGAGCATTGATCTCTGGATCATTGTACACGCGCATTCGGTGATCACGACTTATGAGTCGGGGTCCCCACAGTCATCCACATAAGCATGAATGTTGCGCCCAATCTGTCCGTGGAAGCAATTCTGAACACAATGTTGGTAAGTCGCGTGAGCACTCTTAAGCCCAAAAGGCATAGACATATAACAAAAAGCTCCAATGGTTGTTCTAAAGGTTGTCTTCTCCTAATCTTTCACCGCCATCTTTATCTGATGATAACCAGAATAAGCGTCCAGAAAACACAAACTCTCACAACCCCACTGTGGCATCAATGATTTGGTCAATTCGAGGGAGAGCAAATGGATTAGCAGGGCACTCCTTGTTAAGATCTATGTAATCAACACACATACGCCAAGTGCCATTTTTCTTAAGCACAAGCACATGGTTAGCCAACCACTGAGGGTGGAACACCTCAATTATGAACCCGACATCTAGTTGTCGATCTACTTCTTCTCCAATAGCATTACGCCTCTCCTCATTAAAAAGACGGAGGAATTGATGAACAAGTTTCATCTTAGGATCAACATTAAGGTGGTGCTCAGCGAATTCTCTTGGTACACCCGACATGTTAGAAGGTTTCCATGCAAAGATGTCATGATTCTCACGGATGAACTCCATGAGCGCGCTTTCCTATTTTGGATCCATCCCTGTCCCAATGGTGAACTTCTAAGAAGAATCACCAAGGACAAAGTCAACTTGTTGTGTATCCTTTGCCGACTTAAACTTGAGTAGTGTGTCTGTCTTTGTGGTGGGCTTCTTTAGAGGGGTCATATCAGCTGGGTCAACATTATCTTTATAATACTTAAGCTCCTCCATAGCACAGTCCGATTCTGCGTAAGCCACATCTCCTTCCTCGCACTCCAGAGCGACTTTGCGATTTCCCGTGAACGGTGATCGTCCCTTGTGGCCCTGGCATCTTAAGCTGTAAATAGACATAACAAGGGCGAGCATGAACTTAGCATGAGCCGACCATCCAAACAGGGTGTGATATGGACTCTTGATCTTGACCACTTCAAACCACAACGTCTCTGCTCTATAATTGTACTCATCACCAAAAGCCACTTCCGGTGATATCTTCCCGATAGGGTAGGCTGACTTGCCAGGCACCACTCCATGAAACACTGTGGAGGACGGCTTGAGGTCCTTGTTGGTCAAACTCATCCGATGAAAAGTATCATAGTATAAGATGTTCATGCTGCTACCACCATCCATAAGCACCTTTGTAAATTTATAATCGCCCACTTGAGAGGCTACTACCAGGGCCAGATGACCTGGATCATCAACCCGAGGCGGGTGGTCCGCCTGGCTCCATGTGATCATCTGCTCTGACCACCTTAAATATTGAGGCACTGCCAGCTCAACCGTGTTGACTGCTCGCTTATGGACCTTCCGATCACGCCTGCACGTGTTCATAGTGAACACATGATACTGGTCACCATTGAGCTACTTTGGGTTACTCTGGTATCCTGACTGACTATTCTGCTGCTGATTACCGTGCCCGGACTATTGACTATGACCACCATGGTTACCATGACCCTGATAATCAGAACTTGAGCCGCTGCCACCAAAGCCGGAACCCTAGAAACCGGAGCCTGGCCCGCTAGACGGCCCATTACTGTTACCGTGATGCTGCTGGCGGCTCTGGTTCCTAAACTCCCGCATGATATAACAATCCTTCTAGGTATGAGTAGACTATTTGTTAGGATAACTGTGTTTTGGACAGGGGTCATTGAGCATAGCTTCAAGATTTGTAGGCTTTCCTCCACTAAAAGGCGACTTGCCATTACCATTACGACGTTGATTCTTAAACCCACCATTGGTATTAGCCATAAAATCTAACCCGCTGTCAGAGTACTTACACTTCCCCCCATCACCTTGGTTATTCCAATTACCCTGTTGAGTCAAGACATGTTACTGCTGGCCCTTGACATCACCGTTTTTCTTGCCCTTACCAAATTTATCATCATCAAAACCTGGATCCTTTGTATTATCAAAGTCACCATACCTGGTCAGGACATCCATAAGCTTGGCCATGTGTGTACACTTGCGCTTAAGCCGCCCTAGCTTATGCTTAAGAGGGTCAAAGTGATAGTTTTCTCGAAGAGCAACACAACTTGAGCCGCCCCAATACTGTCTGAAGAGTGTATGATGGTTGCGACCCGGCGAGCCCAATGATGGGCCAACTCATCGTCCCGCTACACACAATGCTCTAGATCAATAATTGTCATTGGCTGCTTACAAGTTCCTTGAAAGTTCTTGATGAAGCTATCCTTCAATTCCTCCAGGGTATTGATAGAGTTAGGAGGCAGGTTCTTTAACCATGTACGAGCCAGCCCTTCCAACATCATCGTAAAATACATGGCACATGCTACATCACTAACTTCCAACTTGTCCATGGCTAACTCATAGATCCTAATCCAAGTTGCTGGCTCAAGAAAACAGTGTAGTTGGGCACCTTCCGAGGGTCTTTAATATCTTTGGGCATGCACTCGTTGCGTAAAGCCGACACTAGGCACGATACTCCAATGGTCCGAGAATTTGACCCCGACTCCCACAGAAACTGAAGGGGTCACTGGAGGTTGCTGATAAGCCCCTGGTTAGCCGTTGCTGCCTCACGGTGGGCTCTTGCTTCGTCCACAATTGCTTGAGCATCAGTCCTTGGATTAAGGGGCATGTTATCACGGGGCAGGTTACAACATTGCTCACTGCTGGAGACCGTGACGACTTAATATGCCGACTATAACTACGGCTTGGGAGGGGGGTTGAGTGCACACGATCACGGCTGTACGAATACTTTTTCTGCTGTGCAATCGCCATTTAAAGAAGTTCAATGGCGTTTTGTGCATTGACTGTAATGGGCGACTCACCGGTAATAGGGAGAGTGTTGAGCCAGGTGGCTACTGCTACAATATTAACCACCGGGTTAGAAAAGTGACTCGGCGGCATTGCAAAATGCTAAGGTGGGGTACAACCCCGAAGTGGGTTTGACCCTGGTTCACCCCTGCGGGCCGGCTCTGGCTGATGAAGCTGATGATGCCGAGCCACCGCCCTATTCCTAGGTGCCTCTGCAGTTGATGGGGGTGTAACTGTTGCTCCTCCAGCACTTGGTCCCGCCCCTGGTGTGTTCAACAAATTCATGGGCTCGTAATTTAAGGGAAAACGGGTTTGATGCCTCCTTCGTAAGACTGCATTGGAGGCATTTTGATCCAGACTTAAACGCCAAGCCATGGCCTTCAGGCGCTCCGATTCAACATCAATCTGAACCTACAACATGGCCATCCAGGCGTTTTCAGCATTAATATCCTCCTGGGCTTTGGTCATCTGCTCCCTGAGCTTTGCGATTTCTGCGTTACGCTCCGCTTGGTTTTCCGCTGTGACCTTAGTCCCCATTAAAGTTGCTAAAGCATCCATCAGCTCAGATAACACTTGAGCTGGATGCCTGATTAAGATGGACCCTGAGGGGCCAGTTGTTGCCATTGCTCTAGCCGTCGTGCTATGGAGAGCCGGCGCCGTGCCCGCCATGAAGATGGTGGCTCAGCACGACGGCTCGTAGGGGTCCGGAATACTGTCACCATCGGAACAACCCCCAAGCCCGCTGTGTTTGAAGCTGGTAGATTGACTCCATCTCTCCAATCGAGGACCCGTCACCTGAGTAGATGAGAGTCTCTCCTCCAGATGCAGAGTTCTTCGTAAGTTCCACACCTTGCGTGAATCCCAGGAAGACGTGTTTCCGCCCGGCTTAGACCCTGGCGGGTTGCGTGCGCCGAGCCGGCTCGACGAGGTCGGTGCAGATGTCCAGCTCAGGCTTAGATACGTCGATATTGCCGATGAAGACATGGATTCCGTCGTAGGCGACCTGGTACCCGTACTCGATTGAGTCGGCCTCGGGGCCCCAGCCAGCGTCATCGATGTAGAGCTTGCCGCGGCGACTCTTAGTCATCCTGCCAACAACGTATCCCTCGATCCCTGGGAAATAGCCCTTCAAGAACTCGAAACTACCATGCGATGGCCCCACAGTGAGCGCCAACTGTCGTGTTTTTGTCATGGCAGATGTCCTAATGTGAGGACTTAGACATGAGGCCATCGCAAATGGTGACTAGCTTGTCGGGGTTGAGTCGGTCGAAGGACACGAGTTTACCCAGGTTCGGCCCCTCACAGTGGAGGTTAAAGCCTACTCCTGCTTTTCTTTTTATTGCTTGAGTATCGATTACAAGGGAGCAGATTCGCTTGACCTAGCTATCGATCGATTGTAACTTGCCCTATTCTGTGCTGGGGACTCGCCTTTATATACAGGTCGAGGCCTCCGGCTTAAAAGAGTCTGGGTCGGGTCATGATCCGTGACCGAACCTAACTCTAACTCGCCTTGCCTTCTATGACAAGCAACCATATGGAGGCCTAGACCTCCAGGCCGCCTGCCGTCTTCTGGTTTCGGGCCCTAAGCCGGCCCATCTTGTGAGCCTCCCTTCTAGTCTTGCATCTTGATCATCCTGGCCCAGTTGAAGCTTGTCTCCTAAGAGTCGCCAATGACTTGACCCAACCCTCAAAGGCGGGTTATACCGTGGGGTTATATCCCCAACACCTTGGAGATAGACTGGTCCCACAAACCAATACTAGTCTTTTATGTGCACTTTGTCCTCACCCATGTGAACTAGGGATCAAGTTTTGATCGGACACCCATCCTCAAATTGCCTCAAGCCAAACATGCTTAACTTTGATGTTCCTTTTGGATGGGCTCCTGGAAAAGAAGGTGCACATTGATATGAGTAGTCTACCATTCCTGTTAAGCTGGGATGTCACACCAGGCAGACCTCGTCTATCAGCTGCTTTGTCAACTTCCCAGGAGAGACCCGCGCTCACGATCTCGTGCATTACTGCGAGCACACACATGGCCACAAGCACGAGCACGCGCACACAAACTCCACGATACCATCCACGATAGCTAACGACGGCCTGTTCTAATTAAATCCCATGAGCCCCCACTCATTTCGCCCCCAACTTGCATTGCATCTCGCCGCCAGGCTGCTGCTAATCGACCCCGCCGCCACTGCTGGCCAACATTCTGGTGACACACGCCGCCGTTTCCCATGCCACCTCCACCACCGAACGTGCCGGACCCGTGCACACCTCCTAAACAACTCCTGCAAGACTGCCGCGTCCTCTACTTTCGAGTTCAATGATACCCAAGCTACACCGCCACCCCAACCATTGATTTCGGCGAGGTGAACATGTACTCGATATCGTCCCTTTGTCCATCTTGTTCATCACACCCATGTGCGTCCCAAGTAGCGCCCGAAAGCAAGCGGCACGTCCACACCCAGAAGATTCCGCCGACATTAGCAACTCCGAAAGCCGTAGCCGCCAACTCTGTCAACTACGAGAGCAGCCGCCACCACAAGGAGCTCCACTACGTCGAGATGATCACAATCGTGCACTCCGTCATTGCCGAGGACCACTGCATCAGGTTCATCCACTCCCGAACCGTTGTTGCCGTTCCTGAGCTTTTCGGCTACTTCCCGAATGATCTTCTTTTCTAAGTGTGGTGAGCCCATCTTCTTTTCTCAGCCGCCCATCTCTAGATCAATGCTTCAGAGCAATCCACTTAAATGTGACTAACTAGGGTTGTTGCCCGTGAGCAATGGCGGCATCAGTGTCTTATATAAGAGATAAAACACACACGCACACTCATACAATCTCAAGCAGGCATTTGGAGACCATTTTTTGTTCTGAATTTTTAACATAGTTAATACAATTTTCATCCTCTAGAGAAAGTAATATTTTACTAAAATCAATTCTCAACTCAAAAGGAACGATTTGGGCCAACAATGGCCTGCACTATATAATGGACTAAATGTATGTTTGTTTTCTCCTTTACATTACATATAAACACAACTAGACTCATGAGCGCAGGACCAAACAATTGTTATCAGTGCTAGAGTACAACATTTTCGTTATGCAACGAGTTACCACGCGCCACGTGGAGACTGATCAACGGCGATCCGCTCTTGTACCACCGCGGCGCGGCAGAGCGGACATGTCGATCTCACCCGGAACCACGTCTCGATGCACGCGGTGTGGAACCCGTGGCCGCAGCCCGCCACGAGCCGCCCGATCTCGCCGAGCCCAAACTCCACCAGGCACACCGCACACTCCGCCTTCTCCGCGGCCACGTGCACGAATACCAGGAGCTGCGTCCTCTCGTTCTCGTCGCGTTCTCCGTCGCTCGTTCCGCCAGCCACCTGCGACGGGCAGGAAGGTGGCGACGGTGGAACGGACGAGGTGGCGGCACCGATGCCGTCGTTCCTCGGCGCGTCTTTCTTGCACCGCCATACGAATCGCCAAAAAATGCAGAGCAGGATGAGGGCGACGCTGGCGGCTGCGAGGGCCGAGGAAGCGCGGCTGTTGATCTGCCCGCCGGTTGCCTGCGACGGCGAGGAGACTGGAGAAACGCCACCGCCCTCCATCTCTCCTGCGCGGTAGTGCACTGGAGGAGACTAAGCTTAGCCGGCACCCAACAGAGAAGCAACCTGGCTAGCTCTCCGAGGACAAGGAACGGTGTCCTATGTATATTTATGGTAAAATGTGGTTCGCCAACTCTTTGGGTAAAACATTAATTTATGCCCAACACCTCATAGTTAACACTTGGTCCACCCGTTCTTTACCTTCGATTGGAGGAGAGAAGTCTTCTCCGGTGAAGGTAGTGTAATTAATATGATTGCGTCCATGAATTTTGGGCTACTACCAGCCACATGCCGTTGGGTTGGAATCCTTCCACTCTCGAAGGTTAGTCATAATGCGAGTAACTTAGATACTCCCTCCTTCCATCTATATAAGGCCTAATTTAGTTTTTGAGGCTAACTTTAACCAAATGTTAGAGCAATAATATATGACATGCAACTTACATAAAGCACATCATCAAATTCGTATGTGTAATGAGCTTTCAATGATATAATTTTCACATTATGCATGGCATGTAGTATTAATTTTATCAATAGTCAAAGGCGGTCTTGAAAAACGCATTAGGCCCTATATAGATGGAAAGAGGGAATAGTAACATAACGTACTTTTAAGAAATTTTTGCTTATATGGTATGTAGTTAATAAGGAAAGAGGTATTTGGAGTAACATAATATGTTACTGTAACATAGCGCTTTCCCCCAAAAAAATGAGTCTACAACATAATAAATAAAGTTGTCTATGACACTATTACTATGTTACTTCCTCCGTTTTTATTTACTTCGCATATTAGTGTTGACTAAAGTCAAACTTCGTAAAGTTTGACCAAGTTTATAGAAAATAATATAAGCATTTACCATAACAAATTTATACTATGTGAAAGTACATTCAATAATAAATCTAATGATGTTGATTTGTTATCGTATATGTTAATATTTTTGTTCATAAAATTGGTTAAAGTTTATAAAGCTTGACTTTGACCAAAGCTAATACGTGAACTAAATAAAAACGGAGGGAGTATTTTCCACTATGGAGGTAGTAACTTAGACTAGTGTCATATGCATGTCACTATTATAAGTTACTCCCCACTATGACCAGTCTAAACAACTCCTAATAATTTTCATCCTTTTGTTTGCGATTACATATTGTCAAAGATCCGGCGGTCGATAACTTAATAAGTCTTGCGTCCTAATATATTACCATGAAACGCTGATTAGTTAGCACGGTCTGACAAATGACAGCTGCCAAGTAGTGGCACTAGTACAAGTGTGTGATCATGCTGAGTTGTTTAGCTCCAGCTAGCTCTTAAATTTTTTATCCCACCTGGACTACTGGCTTCGGCAGCTGACCAATATTTTCTAAATTATACAGAGTCTTTCAGAACTTGACATCAAAGATATTGTGACACCCTTGAGATTTTTTTTCTGTACTTATGTAATGGCTCCATTGTCCTTGGAACGATTCTTAATATTAGGGGCTTCTTCTGACCAAAGTTCTTTGTCTCTTCTCTTGTAGTGCATTATGAGATTTTTAATTATATCAATTGCCCAAATTGTCAAAGAAGAACACCCAATTTGACACCATCTTAGATGAACGTTTCCACCGCCATAGAGGCGAAGGCGGGTGTGCGACTCCATCCCCTACCCCTCTCTCGTCGCCGTTGGGTGCGCCGGCAGATAAAGCATGCATGTGCGACGCCGACAGCAACGGGGAGGCTGCTGATCGTGGGGACCTGGTATGGAGGGTTCGGTGGACTGTTGAGGGTCGGCAGCAGGGATGTGTAGGCGAGTTGTGGTCTCCAGCGTGTAATGCTTGGCTGTGGCGTTGGTGTTGCAACATGGCGATATTCAACGAAGATCTGGCCTGGTTAGGTCATCGTAGAAGAGGGTGTTAGTGCATGGTCCTAGACATCGGCGAGTTCGACATCAATCGCGGACCTAGCGTGCGGCAACATGGATGATTTTTGTTCTTGTTTTCTTTAGGGACTCTACATGTTCGGTTTAGGGTAGTGAGGCAACAATGTTGCCCCGATGTAGGAATGATGTTCTCCCTGCCACGTTCGTGTGCTTATCGCCAGCGAAGGGCATATGGAGTCGTGTCGCTGGTGGATCTTTTGGGATCTGATCGGTTTAGGTTTCTGGAGGATCCACCTGGATTTGACCAACTTTCGTGGTTGTCGAAGTTTCTACATGCCCTTATAGTTGTTTTCTTCTCTGGGGCAGCAAGTTGCTTTGCAGATCGCAGCCGACAGCGTCTCTTCGTCTACATCAATAACTTCCCGACCGCTGCTTCTTCCGGCTCATGGGCTTTTTAAAACTTTGCTCATTCAAGGAGGAGACCTAGAGGTTGCATCGAGTTATGTTGGCGGTGCGTCGATGGTGGATGCAAAAGAAAGAAGACTTCGAAATGTAATTTTATTTTTCTGTATGGGAGTATTTTTAAAGACATGTGATACTTAATATATGGCTTTGGGACCCTTTCGCGGAAAAAAGAGCAACCAATTCTCAATCTATATCTACTAATAAGGGATTAGTGCTTATGCCCATATGTCACATATTTTTACAGAAACCCCCACTCTCTTTTGTAATAATTAACTGCCCGCACACCTTTAAGTGAGAAAACAAACCGTGTTTTACTGTTTTGTACATATCCCCTCCCTTTTCTAGTAATAACCTGCACTCCACCGTTAAGTCATACTCCCACCATCTTTGAAAGAGTGTACTTCCAACTTTGTTGGAGGGTCGAACTATCTCAAAGTTTGACCGAGTTTGTGCAAAAATATATCAATGCTTGTGAGACCAAATAGGTATATGATGAAAATATATTTTATCATGAATCTAATGCTACTAATTTGGTGGCATAAATTTTGGCTTATTATTGTATAAATACGGTCAAATATAAATTGTTTTGACTTCCCAACAAAGTTGGAAGTACACTCTTTCAAGAACGGAGGGTGTAGAAAATGAATCTTTTTTGCGTTTTCATGGAAAGCCTCCTTCCGTTTCTGTAATTAACCCACAATCCATCTAGAACGAATAGTACTTTAAAAAAATATCCATATCTTTTAAAACAGTACTCTGATTTTAATATGTTATATATGAAATTTGATAAAAATATGTGTAGAATTTGAATATGATAATGTTATTTTACCTATAAAATATTTAAAAATGCTATTTACGGTGCAAGCTTAAACAATAGCGCACGATCCATCTTTCTTTCGTACCGACACCGGCCTGGATTGCAAATGGGCACCTCAGCAAAGCCAAATTGGAGATGAAAGAAAACGTCGATAACCGTGCATGCACGCCTCGGCAAAACCTTGCATGAAAAAAATAGATTTCTCATCCTATGCCTTGAAGAGAGATGCCTTTGCAAGACTTATTGAGGTCTTGAGTCATGGTTAATGGGTTATAGACGTGTGTTATTTTCTTCTCTCGTTACAACACACATGCTTTTTTGATAGTTTGTATAAGTTTAAATCACTTTCCTTGCTATGTTCTATGACGAACGATTCAGGTTGTTTATTGGTTTCATCTGACATTTCCGCTAATTACATGGTCGCTCTTTCTAAGTTAATGACCCAAAGGAACATGCGATTTGAAACACTCTTACTAAAGTTCGTGCAAGCAATGAGAGGTGAGAAAACTTTCATTGGATGGCTATGAAGGTGAGAAAAACATGGTCGTTGATCTTTCTGTCTCCCCATCGCGACGATGACCTCTCGATCTTTGCATCGAGCCGATGCACCAATGCTTCTGAAGACATTGGAATTGGGTAAGGCAAAAGAAGAAGAAAAAAGGTTCCAACCTAGCAAATATTCAATTCGGCTCCCGATCTCATTACACTCTATGAACAGTAAATTCAAAAAAATACTAAAAAATAAAAAATATGATGAGAGATGCTTGAGTGCGTGATGTCCGTGAGAAGTTTCAACTTATTCCGACATCTGAGTAGCTCTCGGCAAAAAAATAGGTCCAAAGAGTGCAAAAGAGTAAACCTTTTTACATACCCAAATTTGTCTTTTTTTGCTTTCAGATGTTCAAATATGCTGAATTTTTGCACGGACATCACGTACTCAAGCATTTTTTACCACAAAAAGTTTGAATATTTTTACTATTTGTGACGAATTTAGTGTTCACTCCCAGAGGCCGGGAGCCAAAACGCCCCGCCCCGGCCTGGGTACTATTTTTTTAAGTAATGATATGGGTACTAGAGTAGTATATGATGAGACTACATGCAGAGCGTGAGCTAAATATGTCTTTGGGACAGAATATATACTAGAAGCAAATGCGCGCCTTGCTGCGCCCTTTTTTTTATTGCCATGCAACATTGTTTTTGTTATTTTATTTGCTCTTATTCCACTATGATTCTCACATTGTTTTTGCCGTGTAGCTTCGAAGAAAAACATTACATGGAACCTTAGTTTGTAGTAGCACTTAAGAAAGATCCTTAATTTTGTAGCACTGAGAGATAATGTAATATGCAGATAACATTAAGGCAACTTCTTTGGATTACTGTAGTTATACCTGGAGAATATGATCCTAATCAAAATACATAGATTTGATTCAGACATTATTAGAAATATCAGACAATCGCAATATTCTCCATCTACTTTGAACCTCTTCACTCAAAGCAAGTTTGTCTTTTTTTCACAACTAATGTAGAGCCCACACTACATATTACTCATTTTGCTTGTCATTCTACTTCTTATGTACAAATATAGAAAATGAATACAATATGAAATATGCATATGTGGCAAATATAGAAATAGCTTTTTCATCACAAAAAATATAGGAATAGCGAATAAACAATTCAGCATTTTCTCTGGGATAAAACAGAAACTTCATAAGCACATACAACTCTAACCATTTTTCCACCACTCCTGACAGCTACTCCTTGACAACTGAACATATAGGAGTGTCAACAACAAAAAAGATATAAACTTCCACCTTATACAAGCATGTATTAATAGTTATATTGTTGCATAAACGGTGCTAATCGGGCATAAT